TTAAGGAAGGCAGGTAGGATAATATTTGTAGCCTGTAGTTGACTAAAATCGTCAGTTTTGGTCATTTCACCTTTGACCACCCCCACCCATTTTGTTTGGAGTGTTCTTAAGGGAGAAAGGAATGAAGGGTCAGGGTTTTCCTAAGCAGTGGTTTTGGCGACATCTGAGTTTGGTCGACGAAAGTTGATCTTTGTACGCAAAAGTCGAATTAAACTCGAAATAGGACACGCATCTAATGAATCAAGGTTCAGAGTTTCGGGCACCGCTGTCCACTCATCTAGCATGTTAGAAATTTTGTACGCGATTTTGTAAACATCCTGAACCTAGCTCCCTAATTACTATAAAGGGTTATTTTACGTGCAGGCCAATGTGTACACGGAACCCCTGTTTTTCGTCCCACCCAAAAGACTAGACACAGGCACTGACAAGGCGAAACCGCGCCGGAAATTCAGTGAAACATTCTTGACCAATGAACTAGAGACCTCCAGACTAACGAGCCAGTTTGGTTTTACGGGGGTTAGGTAAAAATAATACCATACCGGAACATGTAGAATCCATATTGGACGGTACAGCCCACGACAAGCGATACGTTACCCTTAGATGTGTCATAGTCTTCTAGTTGCATCGCAAGACATAAAGAAAAACAGAAACTATGAACTTTTCAAATAAAAGAAAGTGGTACCAGATGGTTAAGAATGACCTAGTACCACCCTTCTCATCCACAAGAAGCATAAACTATTTGTGGAACACCTTATACTACTTCTAAAGCATTTTTCTTGCATTTTTGTATTTAATTCTACAATAAATTAGATATTCTTAGAGATACTGAAACAATAATTTTATTTATTCATTTGCACATACCATTAGATGTCATGGCCCTAACACAGACCCATGTGGAATACCGCGCATTGAACTTGAAATAATAAAATAATTAGCTATACTGGCTAAAATAGCTGAAGATAATTGGTTTATATATATTAAATGTGTGTTATGCAAGATTTAGATAAAGGGCTGGCATTTCTTGCTAAAATATATAATGCAAATTGAATATATTGAACATTTGATTCAATATACTTTATTATGATTCAATATACTTTATTATCGGTGTTTGAGGTTGTAGTATATATTGTATATGGTAGTTGACAACTGAGACTAAGCATCGATTAATCATTTTGAAATTAAATTATCAAATGGCATTCGTGTTATATCCATTTAAATCTCGGTCACCCGATAGTCTAGAAAGATCATTATGATTTTTATAATAATTTATATAATATTTGAGGCCAAAATAGCTCTTACATAATGCATCTGTAACACTCACCAACTTTTCCAAGCAAATCTATGATAACTGTAATACAGATTAGTATCTTCATATTGTTCACAGTTAAAGTATAGTAATGATAATACAGTACGGGACAAGTCTATAATAAAATATATTGGCAGTGTGAAATTGAATCGTTTTTCGTTATACTTCTAGGAGATACTTTGCAATCCATTTTTCTAATGTTGTTTAGTTATCGTTCTTAATTAAATCTTGAAATATCCCCATTAAAGATACCCGAACACCTTCATATGTGAATCTCGAACAACGAGGTGAAAAACGAATAACAGACAGCTCGTTATTCGCTGCTTGAATAGCAATTTGGATTGTTTTCGTCTAGAAGTCGTTTTGATGTGTTTTATGCTTCATAATTGAATCCCTAATAACAATTTGAATAAGAAAAAACGAAGAACGAGGCAGTGTGCCAATAACGAGACAGACCACCTTGCTATTCGTTATTCGCCGGTTGAATAACAATCTGGTATATTTATCGACTATACGTCATTTAACCAGTTTTATACAGCTGTGTTACTTTGCAATCCATTATCCTATTGTTAATTAAATCCTGAAATAGCCCCAATAAAGATACTTGAACACCTTTATATGTGAATGACGAATAACGAGGTGAAAAATGAATAACAAACTGCTCGTTATTCGCTGCTTTAATAATGTGGACAGTTTTTCGTCTAAAAGTCGTTTTGCTACTTCGGGATACTTGGCACCCATCATTCTAGTGATGACTAGCTTCATATTTGAATCCCGAATAATAAGTTGAATAACGAATAACCAAGCAACAAGTTAATAACAAGCCAGACCACCGCTTGAATAACAATCTGGTTTATTTACTGATTGTACGTCATTTAACCAGTTTTATACTGCTAGAGGATACTTTGCAATCCACCATTCTATTGTTGTCTTATTATCGTTTTTAATTAAATCCTGAAATATCTGCCTGAACACCTCCGTATGTGAATCCAGAATAACAAGTTGAATAACGAATAACGAGGTAGCATATCTCTCGTCATTTGCAAATAACGTGGTGAGCTACCTCATCATTCGTTATTTGTTATTGGCGAATAACGAAAATCGATTCAACTTCAAACTGCCAAATAGTTTAATGAACAATATGTTTTAAACATGACTAGATCGCCGAAATAAATAAGCCTCCGCTTCCCTTGTAGACGCGATTTGTCAATACAATGCAATAAATATGTAACTTCTATCTTCACAACATGGATAACAAAACGCGGTTTAGCTCGCGCTATGTAGAGAGAGAGAGAGAGGGGGAGAGAGAGAGAGAGAGAGAGGGGGGGGGGTTAACGTCCACTCGACACAAACTAGGTCATTTCGGGACTAACATATGGTTCAATTCACTTACCCGTAGGGATCTTTAGCAGTGGACGGAAAGCGGGGGACCGGGAGAAAACCCACTAGGTTGGACAGGCGATCCCAGTGGAAAATCGAAACCACACCACGTGACCCTATGACAGATCTCATGATGCAACGTGCATCAAACGCGGGGTCGAACACGGGACCTCAAGGTTGGCGGGCTAACGTGTTCACTGTGCCACCTTGGCTCACTTTAGTAGATAATACGCTATAAAACATATAACTTAAACGGCGACGGTTTTATAGCAAGAATTAGGTTAAAATTATCCCTTTGGATTAAAACACAGTCTCCGAGACTAAAGTTGACATAAATTTAATTAAGTGTTAGTTATATGAATATGTGAACATATTTACACATATCTAACGACACTGTGTTTTGTACTGTAGACATATACGAGCGTTTACTATTCGTTGATTGTTCCTTATCAGTTGCACATTGTGCATGCATAGAATAAAGGCATAGACTAGCTTTATGTGTCATTGATTCATATACAAAACACATTCATAAAACTTCTTTGTGACGCATACGTCTTTTGATATTATTATAAATTGAGACCTGAATGGTTAGCACCTCCGCGCTGTATCATAAAGTCTGTCATTGAGACAACTGGCGTGGTTTCGATTCCCCGGTTGTACGTGACAAGGAGTATGGTCGCCTGTCCGACCTCGTGGGTTTTCTCCTGGTCCTCCGGTTTCCTCCCACTGCTAAAGACCCCTACGCGCAAGCGAATTATGGAAATAAATTATGAACCATATGTTAGTCCCGAAATGACCTATTTTGTGTCGATTGGACGTTAAACCCCATTTCTTTCTCTCTCTCTCTTTGTTGTGAACGGACTCCGGGATCCAGTTGAAATATGATCATTCTCGTTTTGTACAGTAATGCAATGACAATATCTATATTTAATATTTTTTCAAATGATCAAATGCACGCGTGACCATATAACAAAAGACGTTAATCCCCATTTGTATCCTAGGGTTGAGTGTGTTACATTGTAGACGTCATAATCTACGGTAATAAATATACACTGGAATTATCCTTTAAACCGGAAACATCAAATGTCATATACACAAAACAGCAACTCCATCAGGCAGAGTGACTGTCCTGGGGAAAGAGAATAAAACCTGGAATTTTGAATGAATGTACAATCGGTATTTCAAGGGCCAATCTCGATTATATTTTGGAGATTAAAACTGGTTAATTTTGTGTTAAAAGCCCTTAAAATCCCCTACCTTAGGCCCGAGCAACTAACTCATACGGTTTCAAACAACTTAAACCCGTTTGTGACCGGTGTCCTAAAGTGTATTATTTTATAAAAATAACATGTAGGTGAAATTTACCATTCGTTATCAAGTACAGCACGTGGGTCATGCACTGTATAAAACTCTAAAGGAACGGCAATAGATTATCAGGTCACCCAACGAAACAATTGACCCGAAATCTTAAAAGGGTTACGTGTCGGGATAAGCGGTGTGACGTTCATGTTCAAACGACTCAATATTTTGAGCTGAAATTTTGAGACAAGGTAAATATCCATTCCTCTATATTTTGCGCTTAAATTTCATACGTACGCGGACTTTTATTTCTGAGACTGTTAAAATCGAGATGGTCCCTTTAAAGATAATATCTCGGGATTAACACAATTTACACAATTTACAAATTAAATGTAGGTAAAATATAAATATGAAATTTCAAATAATGGAAGTAATAAGGAATATTCTTAGCATACAATTAAAACTATTTTAATCGGCTGTCCACCGTCGATTACCAACCATGTAATCATACAAGATTAATTGCTTCAGGTATAATTGGTATTAAAAGAAATCTGTTAAAATTTAAATAAAGTCATAAAAACAACACATTGAACATTATATGAAGGAAGAAATTAATAAAGAAGCGAATGAATACATGTACGTATTATATGCCTGTTACAATATCACATTGTATATGATTATGTTATACTCTGTCGTAACTATAGCACAAATATTTAAACAGCATGTAAGTTTTTTACTGTGAGCATTATGTATTTAAAAATTCGCGTTGATTTTTGGTTATGAATTCTTTTATTATTTCATTGCACGTTTTCTACTCTGCTTTCGATACCATGGCAGTAATTGAATATCATTTATAAGCCATAATTTCTGACGTGTATTTTTACAAAACAACGACAAGGTAGGTTTTCTTATAATAGTTTGACTCCATTGTGTATTTATTTACCTATTTATTCTATTCTTTACCTGTATATTATATACAACAAATCAAGACATTTATTTATTAGTCAGTGTAGTTATTTTACTGGTAAGAAGTTTAAATATATGCTGGGCAGATTAGAAGAGAATGGAGGAAGTTTAAACAATCGATCGATCGTCTATTAGGTAAATATATATATAAATATATATATACATATATACACACTAGACTAGAGTTTTGCAATCTGGCCTAGATTCCCCTTGGCAGTGGTGCAGGACAACAGACAGTCTGGAAATGGAAAGCGTTCAGTCGTTGGGATGAGACGAAAATTCAATATCCACCCATACAAGCGTTGGTAATACAAGGTTCACACGACGATTGGCCGCTCTTGGCTGATCGAAGTATTTTTGTTTACTTCTCTAAAATTTCACATTTGGATACGAGGGGATGGAGAGAGAGATATGGGGTTTAACGTCCATTCGGCACAAATTAGGTCATTTCGGGACTAACGTATGGTTCAATTTTATTTTTATAATTCGCTTGCGCGTAGGTGTTTTTAGCAGTGGGAGGAAACCGGGGGACCCGGAGAAAACCCACGAGGTTGGACAGGCGACCCTACTCCTTGTCACGTACAACCGGGGAATCGAAACCACGCCAGTTGACTCAAATGACAGACTTTATGATACAGCGCGCACGTGCTAACCATTCAGCCACCCCCCCCCCCCCCCCCAACGAGGGGATGGAAGTCGATGCGTTCTCGTATAATTTAGTGCGATTCAATGCGATATGATCACCAATGGTCGATTTCTGATGACACGATCTGGTATCCCGTTCATATACGATCAGATATGTTCCGATATAGACTTCACAATCTGGCCGTGTAGATACGTTCGGATACGCTTGGATACGATCACCAGGAACCGATGCCCCCATTTGCGTTAGGATACGATTGTGGTCGCGATGTCTCTCGCGATCTGGATCGAGGGTGATCACGGTCTGAGCTACGCGACTGGACTCTGACGGGTATATATACAGCTAGGCTGATCACGGACTTCATTGTTTCTTGAATTTCTACAGTGATCGCAGTCATCTGAACAGAGCGTAGATATTGCTTGTGCAATAACTTTCATATTCTACTGAGCGATATCTCCTAGGAAATATTAGTTTAAATGAATTTTATTGGTCATAGAAAGGAACCATACGTGTAAAAAAGGTTGGGTGGTAAATAAAATCTTCAACTCGTTCTTTTTTTACATTATCTACTTGTTTTGATATTTTTTGATATAAAAAAAAAAATTCTATTTATCGTAATTTATAAACGACAAACACACCTTGGTGTCTTATGCCTGGAATTTGTAGAGAGAGTGAGTAATATAAATCGGGTTTAATGTCCACTCAACATAAACTTGGTCATCTCGGGACGAAAAGTTTGTACAATTTCGATTGCACGTAGGGGTCGCTGCTGCGTGTAACGAACATGCGTATTGTGATCCATACAACTTACCTCAATAATAGACGCACGCTTTAGACCATTCGAGTCTGAAGAAGATACACGTTTGCAAACTGGAACCAGTGGTATGGCACTCGGCAAACCTCAACAGATTCCAGTGCCCTACATCTAATGCTAGATGTAGGGTACCGGAATCTGCCGAGGTTTGCCGAGTGAATGGTATGGGTGACTGCAAAGGGGCTGAATGATCGATTCACACTGCTGGTCCATGTACTGTTTAAGATAAACGCTATAATGGTACTTGCACAGCAATTAAAATAATTAAACTTCATAATTAAACTTAATATTTATCGCCACTTTTCCTTGATATCTAGGTAGTCTAAATATATTAAAGTAGCTAAGTCTCTAACTCAATATTATCCAAAGTCTTCGACACTGAAAACACGAATTATGTGTCAGTTTAAATCAACATTGATGTTGTGATCTTACCGGGAAAAGATGCGCTTCTGATATCCAATATTTAAGACAAAATAAACATTTTACCATTGGGACACGAATCGTGTACCATATTGCTTTTTAGTGCAATTTGTGACAAGGGACTCGAAGAAGGAGGCTAGATATATTCCATAAGTTATGACGTCATATTCTTATCTGGAGAGCATGCGCAATAAATCCTATCGGTGTAGACTGGAATAACCAGACGCTAGAGATTGCCATTCGATTGAGAACATAACTGATCAGAAATTACAGTAACAAAAGAAACGATTGAATGTAAATCAGTTTATATACATTCATATTACATTATTATATGCGTTGCGACCCATTTGTGTCAATGTCTAAGTCCAAAATATTAGCGATTTAGCTCATTTCAAATACATTTTTAGACACATGCCAATATCAGTTCACAATATAGTTACTTAACAGCTAGATTGAGTAATATGTTTTGTCACGCATAATTGTTTGCTCGTAATTCGCTTTGTATCCATAGATTGAAAGAGACTTCTGTGGAATTAAAGAAATGCAAGCATATTTTCAATTGAACATACATAATGTAGTAACAATTTACAATGGCGAAGAGAGAAATGAACAAATAGCTTTTAACTACATAGTTACGGTAATGTTTGTTTGCGATCATACCTTTAATAGTAATACATACGTATCAGGTCTTGTAGAAAAGGTAAGCATAACTGTATTTTATCCACCCTACTCCAGAAAAAGATGAAGGAAGATGAAAGAAAATTAAACATTTTTTTTTATTTTATTACAGTTTATCGCCCATAGTTATGGGAATGGTTTCTGTTCTTTATTTGACAATGTCAATATTTTTATTTAAAGGTATGTATTCTAATCAGACTTTACTAGTATACACCATGCCATGTGCCCGTATTTAGGACCTTGTAGCACAATATTGGTATCAGACAATATTACATATGTGGTTAAAACAAATTCCAAATATAATCTTAACACAGAGATCTTTTCTACGGTTGATCCGTAAGAAAGATCCCTGTGCTAAAATTATATCTGGAATGTGTTTAAACAGGTCTATCAACATTGTCCTTTAAACCCCAATTTCATAAAAAGGACTTTGATAAATAGCTGTCTTTTGGGGGTTGCTGTGTATCGCTAAGAAAGACGTTGGCTCTCGTTTGATCCCGGTGATGGCCGGGAAAGATCATCAATAAAACAATAAAAATAATTTGTGCCGGGCAAAATGAAGGGAACAATAGGAATGTATCTGACAAAACCTGGTTTTCTAACATACCTATTTCCAACTATTTATAGCTAATATGCTAGCCCATGAATTTATCATTTTAAATATTTGCTTTATGTCATGGTAACACCCCAGTGTTACAATGTAAACGTTTATGTTTTTGTATAAATATAGGTAACCAGGTCAGAGGAAATCGATTCCCCGACACAAAACAATCTGTATCATCAGTAGTTGGCTGTGACGCAGATCTAATTTGGGAATCGCCTGAAAAAGACTACCGAATGTCAATCGCCAAGGTAAGCGAACCTTTTTTTTTAAAAATCTAACACATAAACGACAAATTGGTTAAATGCTTTTATAGGCGTATGTTATATAATTCAATTGTGTTGCTCTATTTCCGCTTTTGACAATGACTTACCCGGACAGTAATTCTAAACAATGTCGCTGAGTGGAATCGAAACCACGCGACTTGACTCAGCGACAGATCTTATGATTTCACGCGCACGCTTTAAAGCACTAGACCACCCAACCCTCCTTTTATGTTGAGAAAGTTTTATGTTTGTCTGCACCTGGTCGCAGGTACCGTCCATGTATATCCTGAAAATTAAAAATAGCTCATAGAATCAACAAATTGTATTCAAATATTTTAATATGTAATAGATAAAAAACTCAAAAGAAGAACAATTGGATAATAATATTAAGAAATACTGGCTTGAAAGAACTCCAAGGAATGTAATATTAACTATAAAAGAACTTGAAATGAAGGATGCCGGGTATTACAGAATCACGATTGGCTCTAAACATGAAGACATTAATCTCATAGTCACGGGTATGTACAAGGGCTAACGCCCACTTCAAATCACAACTTAATATACTAATAATTGTTACACCAAATATAATTACGAAGGGAGATTACTCTCTGCTTTTGACTAAAGCAACCAAAAACAATCGGAAGATTTGAATAAACATATTTTTGGACGGTTACACTCAGTCAATCTTCCTAGAAAATATTGAGATTTGCAAGATTTTAATCCGGCTAAGTAACGTACAGACATCATTTAATTGAAGAACAAAAATGAATTTATTATCGATAAAGAAAACAAACTGATAAAATATGAGTTTATCATTACAAAATGGCCTGTCATTGAGTCAACTGGCGGGGTTTCGATTCCCCGGTTGTACGTGACAAGGAGTAGGGTCGCCTGTCCAACCTCGTGGGTTTTCTCCGGGTCCTCCGGTTTCCTCCCACTGCTAAAGACCCCTACGCGCAAGTGAATTATTGAAATAAAAATTGAACCATGTGTTAGTCCCGAAATGACCTAGTTTGTGTCGAGTGGACGTTAAACCCCATTCTCTCCCTCTCTCTGTCCGCCAGTCCGTCCACAATTGTTTGTGGACACTCTACAGGTCACAATTTTTATCCGATTTCAACGAAACTTAAAATATAGATTTATCTCCCGAAGATCTCGGTTCGTTTCGATATTGGCATGTATCGGACCGTAACTTCATGGATAATGGCCCCTGACTGTACGAAAAATCGCGTTTGTAGCTTGTGGACCCTATAGAGGTCACAATTTGTATCTGATTTTGTTGAAATTTGAAATCTAAGTTTATAACCCCAAGATCTTGGTGCCTTTCAATATTCGCGCATATCGGACCGTAACTTCCTGAAATATGGCCCCTGCTTGTACGAAAAATCACATTTTTTAGCTTGTGGACCCTATGGAGATAACACTTTATTCCGATTTAAAAAACCGCTTGAATATATCATCGTTACACCTAAATGATGGTTGAGTTCGAATTTCGTGAAAATCGGATCAAAACTGCCGGACGAAATGGCCGCCCCTCGTACGCAAACAGTGTATATCAAGGTATATCAAAGTTGTGGACCCTCTAGAGGTCACAATTTTCACCAGATTTTGATGAAACTTGAAATGCATGTTTATAACCCAACGATCATGGTTCCTTTCGCGCATATCGGATCGTAACTTTCTGAATTATGGCCCCTGATTGTACGAAATATCGCGTTTTAGCTCATGGTCCCTCTAGAGGTCACAATTATTATCTGATTTAAAAAACCGTTCGAATATATCACCGTTACACCGTATTGTTTGTTGAGTTTCGTGAAAATCGGACCAAAATTGACGGACAAAATGGCCGCCACTCTTATAACGCAAATGGTGTAAATATGTGGTATATCAAGGTTGTAGATCCTCTAGAGGCCACAATTTTGATCTGATTATGATGAAAGCTGAAATACATGTTTATAATCACAGATCATGATTCCTTTTGATATTTGCGCATATCGGATCGTAACTTCTCGAATCATGGCCCTTGATTGTACAAAATTTAGAGGACACAATTTTTATCCGATTTAAAAAAAACGTGTGAATATATCACCGTCACACACTAAGATCTTGGTTCTTTTTGATAATCGCGCATATCCGAACGTACATGTAACTTCCTGGATTATGGCCCCTGATTGTTCGAAAAATCGCATTTTTAGCTTGCGGATTCTCTAGAGGTCACATTTTTTTCCGATTTTCAAAACCGTTTATATCACCATTCCACCACAATGAAGGTTGAATTCGAATTTCGGGAAAATTGAAATGAAACTGCCCAACAAAATGGCCGCAAATTATGTAAAAGTATGTAATACGAAGGTTGTGGACGCTCTAGAGGTCACAATTTTTATCCGATTTTGATGAAACTTGAAATGTATGTTCATAACTAAAAGATCTCGGATCCTGTCCATATTCGCGCATATCGGACCATATCCCCCTGGTCTGGATTAAGGCCCCTGATTGTACCAAATATCACATTATTTTTTTAGCGGGTTCTCTGTCCATCTCTTGCAAAATGTGGGCGTATCTTCCATGGCAACCGCTTGTTGTAGAAGTAAAAGCCACAAAATTGGAATAAAATGGAATCGTTATTGTAGTTTTAGTAAACAGTCATTTCAATAGCTTTTTTTCAAAATGGCGTGGTAGTAATGATTATTATCGGTTAAACCTGCTGTTTAAAAATATCAAAGTAAACTTAATAACCCATGTCACTTCCCTAAAACTATTTCTGTTTTGTTTATGTTTGTAGATTTCCAGTGGAAGAATAATGTAACAGCTAAATATGTTCGTGTTGGAGACACCATCGATCTTTGTTGGGAATTTGTGACAAAACGTCCAGCAGACACGATTCGGTTATATAGAGCTGCTGCAGGTATACGGGTATGTAATCCTCATCCTCAATTGCTTTTACGATTAATTATTATATTCCCAGAGTTCGTCACCTTCCTGTTCAATTGGTTAAGAGAAAACGCCGCTATGCGGCCGTTAACCCCGACGCCGAGTCAAGTCAAATCAAGTCACGGGAACGTCGCTTTTAATTAAAGTGTTGAATCAGGTCTTTCGGATGTGCTATTCATACGCAAAGCTATATGTGATTGAATTCGCATGTCTGTATTTCAGCAGACATTTGTCTGTAGATCATAACGACAGCCATCTATGCAAGTCGGGAAACGTCTTGAGCCCCCCCCCCCACTTCCACTGTTACATATAAGCATGCAAGCGACTTATGGAACAGAACCACACGTCTTTTCTTTGAGTTCAGCGTGAAAGTTTAACAGAAATTCTTAATGTTTTCAAGACTAAGAAGGACACGACTAAAATCAGCTTTTTATTACAGCAAGTTCTTGCTCGGTGGGAAAATGGTAACCAGCAAGCTAATATAGCAGACGGCAGAATTATACAGTGCTACTTCCACAAGTATGGCAATGGTGATACGTACAGAGCATATTTGACTTTGCCAAATATAACAATTGATGACTTTAAATATGAGTACATCATAGAGGTAGCATTCAATGACATTTGCTTGAAAACCGAAGAACCGGTTCATTTAAAAAGAGGCAAGTTGAATTGTCAGCAATTCTCTAATAATACAAATCGTATTTCATAGTTTTATACATTAGGCTATACATGTTTAACAATAGGTTATACAAGTTTAATAGTTTATCGAGAGAAACGAGAAGACAGAAAATAGAAATAGTAAAGTGTGCCATTTGCATAGATCGATGGAATTTCGCTTCATCATATATGTGCAAATACTAAATGGAATTTAACCATTTGTGGGGTCAATTATGTGAGTATGATAATGGAGAGACTATGATATTTTATTGTAATAGGGGGGTTGGATGGCCGAATGGTTAGCGCGTGCGCGCTGAGTCAACTTGTGTGGTTTAGATACCCCGGTTGTACGTGACAAGGAGTAGGGTCGCCTATCCAACCTCGTGTGTTTTCTCTGGGTCTTCCGGTTTCCTGAAATAAGATTGAACCGTGCGTTAGTTCCGAAGTGACCTAGTTTTTGTCGAGTGAAGTTGAACTTCATGGATGGATTACCGGTTGTAATAATGGATACATTACAATAGTTAAGTGTAATAATAGGTTATAATAATAGACAGATTATAATAGTTTAATAGTGTAATAACGGGTAATAATAGTGGATAGATTATGATAATTTAATAATGTAACAACGAGTTTTAATAATGGATAAATTATGATATTTTAATGTAATGGCAGGTTATTATATTGGATAATATAGTTAAATGTAATAGCAATAAAATAAGTAAACGAATATAGTGTAATAGTTTATAACAGTTTATTGAAATTAATAAATTAACGGCGTGTTCCCACCACGGTGCAGATACAGAGCGTGACCAAAATTAATCATCCCCACGACGGCGCAGATATAATAGTTGAAATAACTGAACATGAATATATCTTTTTTACCATAGCAAATGAATTAAATATGTAAGTCAGCCTATTGCAATGATGCAGAAGATAAAACAGCAATTGAATAAAAATAGTGAATAAACATTTATTTTTATTTATCCCGCTTTCAAATTCCGGAAGGTCTGAAAAATAGTCTTCAGTCCTAAAATACATTTTCTGTTTTAGAAGTCAATTTCAAATGGATGTCATCTCCAAATCCAGTCAACTCAACTATCAAAGACGATGTGAAATTAGTTTGGAAATATGACAGTTCAGAGTTGGCTAACAAGATAATATTAACTCGGTATAGCAATATAACCAAAGAGGTGAGTTGGTATACACAATGCTAGTATTGGGCATTTTTCAATTATATTACACTCTGAGCTTTATTTAACACCACTTCAGTGAACCATGTTTTTACCTATTAGCATGATATATTGGAATACATTTTGTACTTCCCCTTCATTTATAACTACAAATATATTAGAAATATTTATAACCACAGTGGATGTTCTCAAATTAGATAAAAATACACAATATGAATTTAAATTTGAATTGATGGCTTACAATGTCAGATACTTCTAATGTATTTTACTTCTAAGTTTCTCGTTAACAGTTAAACGCATGGTGCGGTCAGTTATCAACCCTTATCATTCAAGGACAATTAATACTATAAATAATATGTATACTGTAATTACAGAGAAAACAGCTGGGTATATGGAACTTTGAAAAGGGGTTTCAATCGAAAGTGGAAGGAATAAAATTCAACAAATCAAATACAAACCAAGAAGTAAATATCATCATGACGATACAAAATGCCAACAAAGATGCATTTGATCATTTTTATGAATGTCAGGTTTTCTATGGTGTTTTCTTTAACAGCGTGTCTGGAATTGAGCTCGTGCCTGTGTGTAAGTTTTAACCCATTATGATGTTAACAACTCTATTGAACTGGAATTGCGCGTAATTAATTTAATCCGTTTTCATTTCATTCTGCACGTAACTAGCCGGGGTACACGTTCACCGTATAACTCAATAGAGACTTTTGGTAAGCGTAAATTCCTGGTCGGCATCGCGTATGGATTTCGCGTGTGACGTCATCAATGTGTGTGTATTTCTCATACGTGACACAGCATACGGATACGACAGCACGTATCAACAGCTTTAATACGGAAACGGTCCGTATAACACTGTCGTCTTTTTACCGTCTTTTTGCAACTTTTAGACGCTGAAATGTTGTGCCATAGCGTTTTTATGAATCGATGTGTAGGCTATCACAGAACAAGAAGGTGTATATTTGATGTGATTTTAACCTTGATAACGAATGGAATTTTATGATTATTTTTGATGGGTTTTTCTTGGAATTTTCTTACTTTTCCTGTCTGTCTGGATGTTGCTAAATTTAGGGAGGTGGGACCTCGCATTTTCAATAAGATTGTACATTACATTTTCTTTTTTAATAGCCTAGGTACTTGACTAGTGCTAGGCACTTGACTAGTACTTGTGGTGATGCTGTTTATGAGATATGCTCCGGAAACTTCGTTCGGCGCGGGATAATTAGTTAACGCCCTTATTGATCTAGCTTCAGACGCGTTTAAACATGTAGTAACTTTGCAGCGAAAAGCATAGTTAAGTCGATTTTAGATCCCACAAACTTTGTGTTTTTCCATAAATTGACACGCATGTAATACATATTTCTGCGTATTTAATTTGGTGAATCGAGGGTTACGTGGGTAGCTTAGAGCCTAATACTTATTTTCAGAAAAGTAAAACCATTTACCATTTCGATATAACTGGAAATGAAACTAATTATTTTATATTTCAGTACCACATATTTATAGCGATACCATGGTGGTTAAAAGTCGACCTACAGAAGATGTAAAATTTGTTTGGCATTTTCGATATGCATTCCCTGTGTTGTGGGTTAGATTTAGACGTTCTAGTGTTCAAAATGGACCGGTATGTCAATATATATTATAACTTAAAATATATTGCTTCTGGAATAATTATAAGCAAGAGTAAGTATGATTAGACTGTCTTACACAAAGGAGCTAAATCATTATTCTTTGGCACCTAGAAACGGACACAAATGGGTCGCAACGCATATAATAATATATTATGAATGTATATAAACTGATTTACATTTAATCGTTTCTGTTTTACTATAATTTCTAATCATTTATATTCGTTGAAATACGCGAAGAGTCCAAATTGAATGTCAGTCTTTGGCGTCTGGTTATTACAGTCTACACAAATGGGTCGCAACGCATATAATAATATATTATGAATGTATATAAACTGATTTACATTCAATCGTTTCTGTTTTACTATAATTTCTAATCATTTATATTCGTTGAAATACGCGAAGAGTCCAAATTGAATGTCAGTCTTTGGCGTCTGGTTATTACAGTCTACACCGGTATTATTCTAGATCTCCTATGCGGTATGTTTAGTCCCGTTCCTCGAGTCGCTTCATTACAAATGGATATCAGAAAACCATCTTTTCACGGTTAGATAACAACGTCAATGTTGATTTCAAATGACCAAAAAGTCATGTTAGCCATGTAGAAGACAATGGATGATATTGAGTTAGCGTCTGGGCTCCTTTAAATCAATTTTTGTTAATTCATGATTAATCTAATATGACGACTATCACGTTTCCTTGTATTTTAATTTCATTTGTATCAGGAATACATCTAAAAGAAATGAAATAAAATGGGGTTCCAATCGGGCCAATGAAGCCATGCATACCTTTGTAGTGTGGTATGCGGATTATTTGCCCGGACAGCGGCGCTACAATCTACTCTTATTTCAAAATCCAACTGCCAAGGATAATTTTACGTGCACGCCAATGTGTATATGGAACATCGGTTTCGAACGACAATGTTGTCCCTTACCAGACCCTCCGTCCCGGACCACTGAAAGGGAAACTTTCTCTCGGAATCGAACATGAGATCGCCAAGTTTAGCGAGAAAACGTCTTACGCACTAAGCCATGCACTGCGGCTCTACATCTAAAATAACCACGCTTTAAAGAACAATTTTTTCTTACTACTATCTGTGTTGTTTCATGCTTTAAAGGCTAATGCAGAATATGACATAGGACATTGGCATAACGAAACGTTTACACCAAAACTGACAGATAATGGAGGAAAGAGAATTGAATTTAATAAAACAGAAGGTGATGGAGATGGGCAGATAACTCTATCCCTACTGAATACAACCAAAGATGACTTCAGCAAAAAATATTATATCATTTATTTGGCCTTCAAAGATCTAGGATTTAGCGAATCTCACTGTATAATTCTTAAAGGTAATATTTGTCATTCTGTATATCCATACTGTTAGGAATGTTATGCAAGACGTTCCAGAACACCTTACATGGTCTGTTTTCTACGTTTGAATACTTGCTATGGACCCATAAGAGTTAATGATGGTCCTTTTTTTCAATTTTGCAAGGCTGTTTTTTCTTCTTCTTCTGTGTACTGAACTGGGATCCGCCCAGACCACAAATAGTCCAATGAAAGGTATGGCATGGTGATGGCACACAGCTTAACAAGTTGACTATGTACAGTTTGAAACAGGGTGTGGCGGTTAAAACTATTTACAAAAGTGGCTGCTAGCGGTTCCCAGTGGAGGTCTTTCATCATCTTAGTGACACATTCTGGTGTTCTGCTGTGGAAGTCGTTGTATACGTATTTGTAGATGCTCCAGTGATGGTCTTACCATGGCGGCTTTCACTGCAGCTGTGCACTCTTTGAGGTTCCTCCGTATGCAGCCTAGAGTTCTTTTACCCTTGTTAGGGTGGCCCATGTGCTCTACAGAAATAAAGTCCACCGCTGATAGTTCGAGACTACCACTGAAGCGTACACATTCGCCGTGCCGAGACCAACTTTCTGACAGTATGATACTATAAATAGCCATGGCACGTGCAATTCTCTACAAATCTATCAACTATTACAGCCGTAAAAAATTTATTGTTGACGATTTTGAATAGCAGTGAAATTAAGCTTCTTGGTTATTACAGCAGATTTAGAAATTACGTTCGTTTCATTTTTTAAATCGCTTTATCATTAACTGTACCGTTAAGAGCGGCATCTTTTGGTTTAGTACAAATAATATCTCTGAATCACTCGGATTAGACAGGAACATGATACTTGCAGTAGTTTCATTTTACTTTTACAAGGTTCTTAAAACGATTGTTGAGCTACCTAACGTGCTTATTTCTAAATTCAATTTCTTGTTCTAGCTTTCTGTTATGTTTCGTAAAAAAGTAGTCTTGATTATCCCGACCTGTCAATCAGACGTAGAATGGTCGATAGACTGGTTAAGCGAGACTAATTTCAAAACAAGGGCACGTAACCTATCTTTTACTCAAAAGTGTCTGGATGTAATGGACGACACTTGGAACCAGTTTTCAGTCTATTATTTATAGATGATTAATGGTCATAGCTTATTAAGTACAACATGATCGTTTATTTAGTGATTATAATTGTGTGAAACTGATTTGAGGCTTGGCATATATATAAATATTGTGGCGTAATTGTCGAGATATAAGGAGATATATGGAGATATTTATTTATGGTGGGTCACCCTACCCTTGTTAGTAATGTTCAGTGCATGCTTATCCTATGTTAGGTTGTTTGTGATAGTTACCCCAATGTAGCCACTGGCCTCTTCGGTTTCTAGTATATGTCCATGTAGCTTATACCGTGATAATAGTATCTTCTTCCTGTTGTTTGGAGCAATGCAGATGACTACACATTTAGATGGATTGAATCACATATGTCAGTACGATTTGTTGGTGTCTGTTGCTGAGGAAGGATCTGATCTACTTCAGTATGTTGTCTTTAACTCCGTAGTGTTCAACTTCAAGCTTATGAAGGAGCCTTTCGTGTGGCACTTTGTCAAGGAAATGAAATGAAATGGGGTTTAACGTCCTACTGTTCTGCTCCGAACTGGGCTAATGAAGACGGGCATTCGCCATACAGTGTGCTATGAGGGAAATTTTGCCCGGACAGCGGCATTACGGCCTACTCTTCTATCGAATTCCAACTGTCAAGGGATCTTTTACGTGCACGCCAATGTGTACACGGGCCATCAGTTTTTCGTCCCATCCGAACGACTAGACAGCTGTCCTTGCCAGGCCCTTCGTCCTGTATCACTGACAAGGGGAAACCACGCCGGAAAATCTGGATGAACTTTCTCGGCCAGTGCAGGGATCGAACGCCCGACCTCCAGGCTAGCGAGCCATTTTAGTCACTATGGTAACACCCCTGTGCGATAGACTCGAATGTGTTTTAGTCACTATGGTAACACATCTGTGTGATGAGAGTCGGATTTGTTGCTGATGAACCTATACATGGGATTGGTCCGATAAACACACATTGGCCGATAGTTTAATATCTCAAATGAATGGAAGCAGACTGAAAAATCCACAAGAAACAAAATGGATGCATATATGATTATATACAGATTGTTCTATTTAGATATTGTGTGAAATAATTTGATTGTTAAATTACAATTACACAAATCAATAGTGTATTGTTTTAATTGAATACTTATTTCAGAAAATGAAACAACAGTCCTGGTTTCTAAAAGTGGTGCAAAAATTACTTCATTATCTTCCAGTACCATAACATGTATCGTGACAGTTGTGGCGATGTACGTATATTTTATACAGTAGGTCATAAATTCTTCGACTGACCCCTATTGGATAACAATAATATATTTTTAACGGAACAAATTTCCTGACTTATTTTGCAATATTTCCTTACTTGGCCTCTATTTGACCTTAGTAACTGATTTGGAAGGCAGTCTGGCCTTAATTGTTCGAACGTGACCTAATTAAATTCTAGTTAAACCCATCTTTACTACCTTCCCATACTTGACCCAATCGAGCTGGAACTTAAAGATGCATCATGCAAGATTTAGATAAAGAGCTGGCCGTTCATGTTATAATAGATAATGAAATAGATAATGAAAAATAAATATACAGAAAATTTTAGTCAAAATACTTTATTCTGAGTGAAGGTATTGATGTTTGAAGTATTGACCAGAAATACTCCAGATATGGTGGTATTGTGTAATCCACTCAATATCCGGGAGGTTATTATGGACTTGTCAGGTTAATAAATATTGTATATAAATCTCTGAATAATAATTCGAATAAACATTCGAAGCAAAATAAACCAACAGCAGGCAGATTTAGCCCTTGCATAATGCCAGGGCCTTTGTCCAGTTTTAGTTAAATATAATTTAAAATAGGCACCGTCTCTTAAAACGGTGTCGGCGATTCTCCGAAAACGGCGAACCTTCAACTAATAGGGATAGTGCGTACTTTTTTTTTATTCTACTGTAAAAAATAGAATTACCGAAAATTCCGTTCAACTTTCCGATGCGGAGTTTCCCCCTTTGACAAAAAACTCATGAACGCGATAAAGGCTACATTTTTAAAGATTTTTTTTTCAAATTCGGATGTGAGCACTGGGACCATGAGAGGATGAAAACTATCGACTTTCCGTTCTGGGGAAATTCCCCCTTTAAATTTTCCGAAAATCTTGTGAACTCGATATAAGCTACAGTTTTCAAAAGATTATTAGCGTCATGAATGAATTGTGGATCAGTCCTACCGATATTCAACGTTCTACAACTTTGCATTCCGGAGTTACCACCACCTCACCCTTTGCTAAAACCCTTGTGAACGCCATAGAGCTTAATAGTATTTAACAGATTGCTTTCAAAGGTTATGAACACCCATGAGTTCACAATTTTCATCGGATTTGGACGAAAATTGAAATACAGGTTTATATTCCAGAGATCCCGAACCCGGTCAATATTAGTATGTAACTGACCGTAACTTCCTGGATGTTCATAACCCAAAGATCTCGGTTCCATTGGCGGATAACGGACCTTAAACTTAACTTAATGGATTATGGCCAATGATTGTAAGAAAAATCAGGATTTTAGGCTGTGGACCCTTGAGATGTCACAATTTGTTTCCGATTTTTGTGAACTTAAAATATATTTCTTGCAAAATGCGGGCGTATCTTGCATGACGACTTTTGTTTAACGGATTTCGTTCAAATTTAGTGGGAAGCATTGGGGTCAGGTCACGGGAGGATGAACCCTATCGATGTTAAGCGCTCTGCAACTTCCTGTCATCATTTAATTTGCTCAACATCGAAATTTTCCTTTCGGATAAGCTGCAATTGCGACAAAGCTGCTGTGTGGGCTATATGTTTTATTACCAACACGTGTCTTTTTGACTGTCAAGGTAAACCAAAACAAATAGAAAAACTGAAACAATAAACATTGACAAGGTTAAATATGAAAATTATTTCAGGGCGTTTAATTTTAGTTTGAATTTACGTTTTCTTCTAGTCTCAATTTCATAACATAAAAAGGGAATATCTACATTTTTATTCCGTTTAATGCCCACTTAATGTACTCTTGGATACGAATGTGTTGATTGGGAGAGTATATATAATTAGCGTTTGAAACGTGAAATAATATTTTATTGGAAAGAGAAGCACGCGCATAGTGTCTGTTTCTTTAGTTAAGAAGTTTGTTTCAGGGCCTCGTTGAAGACATTTCCCAATATATTGATACAGCCATCGGACTAACGTCCTCGTGCAGTATCAACATATTATTTGATGTATTGCTCTCGTTACTTAAACCATACTTATCGGGTGGTTATTTTCAATAAAAGTATGGCAATTTTGGTATATATGGAAAGTAGAAATATCTAATCTTACTAGAAAAATACTGGAGGCCCTGAAAAACACTCATGGAGCGCATACAGGACAAAATTGTAAGGGTTTCCCTAATCTACAGCCCGACGCTTAGGAGTGTCTGCACGCGTGACGTCAAAGCTCGCACGCGGAGATTGGGCGCTTGATGTACATGCTGATAAGAATTAGACGTACAACAGTTTCTGAGTTAAAAACCACGGAAAAAAACTTGGGCAGTGGATAATCCGAGAATTTAATTAAGCTTCGATATTTGTAATAAATGCAATGCAATGAATTCTCCTCCGACTTCGCCCCCGTTGCTAGGTACCGACAGAGGTAAGTCACGTGACACAAACATGGCCTCTTTTGGTCGATTTTTTATAGTAAGGGTATTCCTTGGCAATTGCAATATTTTGAGAAGGATTTGAAGCAAAATTATGATAAATTAATTAGTTTGAATATGTTTATAGTCCAAATATATCATCAAATTACCCAGTTTATAAGCGGGAATGTATCTTTAAGAAATGTTTAATTAAACAATACATAGTGGAACCCACAAGTTGAAACTCCATCTTCCGACTCCATTTTGCTTACACCAACAATTAATTTATGATATATCCGACAAAATAATCGACAAAGATTTCTATGATAGGTTAGGTTCAATTTGGCATTGTGTAGCCGAGACCTAATATACATCGCAGCAGGTATATATTTATATACAGCTCAGACGTGATATTTGTTTCTATGCACTGGTTTGATTTCATTACGTATTTACTATTATAATAATATACGTCGCAACTTGTATATATTCATATACAATTCAGCTTTGTTAACAACAACACGACATGTATTGAAGCAATAACATATATGCAGTACAGCCGTAACAATGCCTAGCGTGATATTTGTTCCCATGCTGGTTTGAATTTAATGTCAATTATATTT